TAGAGATGAGGTCTCGCTGCCCAGGCGGGTCTCGAACCCGCGGGCTCAGGCAATCCAGTCTTTCATTATTTTGAGGCAATGGCTGGTTTCTGAAGTCACCCAAAATAATGGAGAAAGTGGTGAATTAGTCACTGCTTTGGGTTAACTAAATGGCAGAGCACAGTTAAGGGAATTATCCATATGAAGCAACTACTTAAATTAATGTCCTCATTTGGTTATTTAGCAACTCAGTTCATAGTGATAATACATATGGCACTTTTTGTTAAATTGGGGAAAGAATGATGGAAAATTAGTAAGGCTGTAAGGATATAAGGAATTATTGAATAAATTGAATAGATTGTTTTAAGCTTTAAGGACTCTCTCTACTATTTATTAAAACAATTACATTAATTGTGTTGTATTCTTCCTGCAACAGGTTCCTTCTCTTTCTCTGTTCTTTCTGGAAAAGTCATGGTTCGTGAAATTTATTACATTACAGAAGACATGTCTATTAGGTAACAAATAACAAAAAAGAATCATCTTAAATATACTTTAAAAATATTATAAAAATGTTCTGATTATGACATTTAATATAACTTGCTTCTTCAAATAAAGCCATAAATAAAAAATTGTTTTCTCAGTAAATTATACTCTATGAATTGATAGTTTAAAATGCTTTTATCAATGGATTATTTTAGCTAAGATTTGGACTGGTAAAAAGTTAATCAAATAGTATTTTGTAGAAATGAATGATCTCATTTCATTTCTAGATGAAAATGTGAGCCATTAAATTACCTGAACGTTTATGGTGGTCATTTGTTTTGTACACCAGTGTTCAAAGATGTTGATAACTTTCATCCATTTACTGCTTACCAGAGATACTAAGTTTATGGAATTGTTTAGCATTCATTAGCAACTCTAATAGGAAACACAATCTGAATGTAATATATTTGAGGTATTCCCTCTTCAGTAAGCATTGAAAGGGAAGCATACTCTAGTTTTGTGATTTTCTTAAAATTTATGACTTAGAATTCAAAAGTTTTTAGTTAGTTGAGAGGTACTAGGGTTTGTCAGCACTCATTCTTCACTTAAAACTGTGGTAGATGCTGGACACAGTGGCTCACACCTGTAATCCCAGCATTTGGGAGGCCAAAGCCGGAGGCTCACTTGACTAGCCTGGACAACATAGTGAGACCCTGTCTCTACCAAAAGAGACCATCACCAACAACAGCTGCAGGAGACTACTTCTGCACCAGTTGAAAATTCTTTCTAAATCAAAAGTAAAAAATAAAAGTAGAGTATAAGTTCATCCTTTTTGAACATGAAGTAGTAGATCATTTGTAGAAATGAAGGAATATCTTTAAAAGTTTCCCCCGAGTGTGCTAACATCCCCTCTTCTAGAATTGGCTTATTTACATAATTTTTATATTTAAAAAATACCATTTAAAAAGGAAAGTATTTCTCTGTTAGTACACCATTTTCCTGTTAAATGTAATCTAGAATTACATTTTACCTAATTGGAATAATCTAATATTTTAAAGCAACATATTGTATATGATACATATATACAATTTTATTTGCCAATTAAAAAATAAATTTAAAAAAGAATCTGATTAAGAACTATGCATAGTCTCTTTTCCTTTTTTAAGTGGAAGATGATGAAATACACTTTATAACTCTGTGTTCTCAAAAAGATATGTGTTTGTGTATGCCAGTGTCCTTTTGAGAATTTTGTTTCCTTATTCATTGTCAATTGCCTACCTTTTATAATTACTAAGAAATGAGTTAAGCAAATTGTTACTTAAGTTCTCATTTTTAAATCTGTCTTATTTAGAATTCAAGATGGATTTATCATTTTTCGGTGGTGGAAAATGTATAACCCAAAGCAGAAGCAACATGGTGAGTTTTCATTTTCATCTGAGTTTAAAATGCTCAGTCATATAATCAGAATTTTTATTATGGATATTTGAATATTTCACATTTTATAGTAGATATTTTTAAAAGCCCTGGAGTTTACAAAACTCTGATTTTATCACTTCTTGGTTGAAGATCCTTTTCTTTTGTGGACTAACCTAGGAATCGTTTATAATTTTATTCTTACAGGAAAATAGGTTTAAAGTTACATAAATTTTAAAACTTACCACAAGTTTGAGCCAGCCTAAATTATTTCAGATTTCACCATTACTTCACTATTATTTACTCTTTTTTCTTTTTACTGTCATCTCCTTGCCTCTGCATAGCTTTTCCTTCTCATATATAATATATAATATACTCTTGCTTGATGAGGCTGGCATTAATAAGTTAGTATTTGTTGTCTATAGTATTAATGAAATTAGAATGATTAGAAATTGAAATGACAAGCAAATTTCATGTCTGGAAAAAAATACTTCCACAGCTAGAGTTCTTTCAGAAGTTTGAACAGATGGTGAGTTTTATCATTTTATAAAGTATTCTGAGGGATTTTTAATAGACCTTTGCAGTTTCGAATCTGTGATTTAAAATGGCAGTGTGTTATTAACGGTCTCTACTCTGATTTTTAGAATATAAGTTGTTAAATCAGCATTTTTACCTCGTAGCAATTGCTACAAGTATTTTTACAGGAAGAAATTGTTTTTAGATAGTCAATATATTAGTGCATTGGGAATCTTTTAAATTTTGCCCTGTCATAAATGTGAATATATTCTAAATTTTGAGTCACTTTTCTACACTGCCATTCATGTTAAATTTTTTTTTTTTTTTTTTTGAGTTGGAGTCTTACTCTGTCGCCCAGACTGGAGTGCAGTGGCCGCTCCCGGCCACCGCAGCTTCAACCTGCTGGGCTCCACGATCCTTCCGCCTCAGCCGCCCAAGTAGCTGGAACTACAGGTGCGCGCTACCATACCCGGCTCATTTTGATTTATTGTAGAGATGAGGTCTCGCCAAGTTGCCCAGGCGGGTCTCAAACCTACGGGCTCAGGCAATCCACTCACCTCAGCCTCCCAAAGGCACGGGATTACAGGCTGCACCACCGAGCCCGGCTCATGTTAAATTTTGTAGAAGATATATTCTTTTTTATTTTTTTTAATTTTAAAATTTAAATATCTAGGGTACAATTCAGGGTTCGGTATACAGATGTTCATTGTGCAGGTACCCTTGTTGATGAAGTATTTTTGACTATTTTTTATATTTTATTTGACTGTAAACCTTAAAGATGGCATTTAAGTAAAAATGTCTTATGTGCTTATACTGCAGAGATGGCTAAAACTTATTCCTAAGAGCCAAGTCCTTTTGAGTTTAGTCTTGACTTTGGCACATTCACTTAACTTTGAGCAGGCCTAGTATTTCTGCCTTTGATTTCATTTGTACAATATCTGGTTTGTTTCTTAGAGAGATTACTTTAGGAGCATATTTTCCCCTACATATCATGTTACTATTAATTTTGCAGTTTATTCATTACATAATTTGCTCTTTCAACTTAATTTTTTTTCTTTTATAAGTTTAATTAATAATACAAGCTACATTGTAAACAAGATTACGTAGTGCTGAGATGAAAATTCTCTTTGTTTATAGCTGGTTTATGATTTTAAAAGAGAAAGGTACCTTTTTGCATACTTATATTAGAAATTTTATTCAAAATTATTTTCAGTGTTTAGGGTGTTCATGTGAATAGATGAAACTAAACTGTAGGGCAAGGGTGTTCAACCTTTTGCCTTTAAGTAAAGAGGAATTACCTTGGGCTGCACATAAATTATATAGTTAGTATATATACATAATAAGACTTCTCAAGGTGCTTGTTAGAAATATTTGTTTTAACATGATGTTAAAAGATTTTGTGAGGCCGCATTGGTCTGCAGGCCATAGATTGGACATGCCTGCTATAGGGGGTCGTGAGGTTGGAAAGTAGAGGAGGAGGCCTATTTGACCTCACATCCCCGAACCCAGGCTGTGTATCTCAGGAGTCCAAGGAAAACAGTTTGAAAACAATCAGTCTTCTCAAAACCCCTCATCAATTTGGAAATAGCATATACTTTCAAAACCCCTCATTTTGCAGATGAAGAAATAGAAACTTCTGTGATTGTAACTTGTAGAGTCAGAGCACAAACATAGATCTGCTAACTTCTAGTCTAATGTTCCTTATAGTATAAAACAGCATTGTCAAATGTGGCCCAAATAGGTCCTTTGGAAATTTTTATAGACACCGATTGCTGCATATGGGAGTAATGACATAATATCCAGAGGCAAGTAATAGTTTTAAAGATAAACCTCATAGGAGGTTTAGAATTTTCTTAGACATGAGGACTACAGTCTTTTATTGTTTACAGCTTGTTTTTTTTTTGAGGAATATAGTCACTTCATTTTGTCATGAAATATTACATCCCTTTAAAGTAAATTGGTTGTCTAGAGTATATGTATGAAATCAAAAGTAACTGACCCAAGTCTTTCATGAAAGAGTTAGTTTTTGGAAAAATCTTTATTTAACAGGTATTTGCTTGACATTCACTTTATTGATCATTGTGTTAAGCTGGGAAGGGGATTAAAAGAAGAAAGGGAAATGGGTGCCACTTGAATCCATTTGGTGGAGTGGATGCATATAACAACCAAAATTAAAGGAGAAAGTGAACAGTGAATGTGGGTTGAGGAATAACACCAAGAACCATCCTCAGCATTTCTAACTTTGATATAGACCACTTGGTATGGTCCTAACAAGGCCATAGTTTGATGATGTTTAGAGTTCTGCCCATTTGTTAGGAAGCAGAATGGTAAATAAAGGACTGTTGGAAGTATCCTGTTCCTTCAGCAGCATGCATGATGGTGACAGTGAGTAGGAATGTGTCAGACATACGTGGAAGGGAGGATAGCACGGACGAAATAACTGGTTTCACTAAAGACACTGAGGTTGCAAAATGGGTATGTTTAGAAATTAGCAAAATATTCAGTTTGTTGGTAAATGTAAGGTAAAGCAATAATAGGAGATGATTTGGAACCTGTTTTATGGAAGACTTTGAACACCTGACAGGTACAGCTAGTAAAGGTTTTGGGGCAGGGGAGTGACATGAACTTAGCTCCTTTGAAAGGACATAGCAAAAAATTAATTACTACTTCAGATTCATACACCTCAGATAAATATAAATATAAATAGCTTAAATATTGGCCTTTCTTTGACTGACTGTCCCCTTCATTTCTCTCAGTGTCTTGAACTATTTTTGCCATCCTTTTAATGTCAATATATTTCCCTCTCTATTTACTTTCTGAAATTGTAGCACAGAAATGTTGTAATTTTTGGCTTTTTAATTAAATTATTTTGTCTTGATTTTCCTTTGTGTGTGGGGGTTGCAGATGATTTTCTTTTTTTTTTAATTTTTAATTTTAAATATGTGGGTTACAATTCAGGTTTAGGTATACAAATGTTCGTTATGCAGGTACCCTTGTTGATGAGGTGTGCCCCCCCCACTGGCAGTTTCTCACTTCTGCCAATCCCTTTCTTATAGTATTACTACAGTTGTTCAAGGTCCATTTATGAGTGAGAACATGTGATACTTGGTTCTTTGTTTCTGTGATTGATCACTCAGTATTATAGCCTCTAAGTCCATCCAAGTTGCTGTGAAGTTCATGATTTTGTTCTTCTTTATGGCTGTGTAATATTCCATCATGTATATGTACCACATGTTTTAAAATCCAATCTTCTTTTGATGGGCAGCGTGGTTTGTTCCATGTTTTTGCTATTGTAGATAATGCTGCAGTAAACATACATGTGCAGGTATCTTTTTCATAGAGTTTCTCTGGGTGTATTCCCAGTAGGGAGATTGTGGGGTTGTATGGAAGGCTGATTTTTAGATCTTTTAGGAATTGCCAGACTGTTTTCTACAGAGGCTGTACTAGTTTACACTCCCACCAACAGTGTAGAAGTGTTCTCTCTGCGCTGCATCCTCTCCGGCATCTGTTGTTTTTTGAGTTATTCATGATGGCCATCCTGACTGGAGTTAGGTGCTACCTCAATGTGGTTTTAATTTGCATTTCTTTGATGACTAGTGAGGCTGAGCATTTATTCATGTATCTGTTGGCTGCTCTTATGTCTTCTTTTGAGAAATGCCTATTCATATCTTTTGCCCACTTTTTAATGGGACTGTTTGTTTTTTTCCTTTCAACATATTTGAGTTCTCTGTAGATCCTAGATGTTAGACCTATACAGTTGGCAAATATATTTTTCCCATTCTGTGGGCTGTCTCCCTGCTCTCTTGATAGTTTCTTTTGCTTTGCAGAAACTTGTCAGTTTGATGAGGTCCCACTTGTCTATCTTATCTCTTATGGCATGGGCACTTGGTGTTTTGTTCAGGAATTGGCTACCATTTCCGATTTCCATAAGGGTGCCTTCTGCATTTTCTAAGGTTCTTATAGCTTGAGGTTTGTCGTTTAGGTCTTTAATCCATATAGAGTTGATTTTTGTGTATAGTAATAGGTAGGGGTCTTGTTTTAATCTTCTGCATGTGGTCAGCCAGCTTTCCCAGCACCATTTACTAAATAGGTTCTCCTCTCCCCAGTGGTTGATATTGGAGGCTTTGTCGAAGACGAGTTGGTTGAGAAATTGAGGTTTTGCTTCTGGAATCTATTTTGTTCCATTGGTCTATATGCCTATTTTGTATCAATACCAGGCTGTTTTGATTATTGTAACTTTTTTTGTTGTTGTTTTGTTTTTTTGTTTTTTTTGAGTTGGAGTCTCACTCTGTCGCCCAGACTGTAGTGCAGTCTTGCCTGCTGGGCTCCAGCGATCCTTCCGCCTCAGCCTTCCTAGTAGCCGGAGTTACAGGCATGTGCTACACGCCGTCTGATTTTTTTGATTTATTGTAGAGATGAGGTCTGCTGCCCAGGCAGGTCTCGAACCCGCGGGCTCGGGCAGTCCACTCACCTCAGCCTCCCAAAGG